GGGAAAGACATGTGCTGCTCTAGGCAAGGAGGCGAGCAGTCGCACATGGACCCAGCAGGCTGGCAGTTTAACACTAACACCAGGAAGGTCTTTTCCCCACAATGTAGCATTAAAGAGGGGGGGGTCTCATGGCCCCCAGAGGCGGTGGGAGCTGAGAGCTCAGCCAGATTCACAAAGGCTTGGACACATGCTGGGGGGAAAGGGGTGTCGGTGGTGCTGGAGCAGGGAGTGAGGGGCACGGCCTCTGCATTGGACCTGCCTGGACCTCAGTGCTGGAGGCTGCAGTGGGAAGAGGAACAGGGGAAAACCCTGCTCAGCCCCAGTCACTCCCCCTTCATGACTCTGCTGCTGTGACACAAGACTGGGCACAACAGACCTGGGGTCAGACCCAGTCCATGGCAGCTCTGATGCTCTCACGCAGGCACCATGCCATCTGCGCTTTTTACAGGCCCCTAAATCTGTCCCCGTCCCGGCACAGACATACCCTCCTCCTGGAAGATGCCGCCTTGCACCAACTTGAAGGAGATAAAGACAGCGCCCTCCTCCTGCAGTGCTGTGGAGTGGGGGGGCATGGAGCCAGGTGTGATGCCCCCAATGTCTGCGTGGTGCCCGCGGCTTGCCACGAAGAACACAGGCTTCGGCTGCCCAGGCCAGAACACCTGCGGGGGGATGAGATTGGCTGGGGGGTGGCTGGGCGCCGGGCAGGGCAGACCCCGATGCCCCACCTCTGTCTGAGAGATGCCATGTGCTCCCAAGCACCCCTCACAGCAGGGGGCTCCCATGACCACCCCGAACCCCCAGCCCTGCTGTGCCGGGCACCTGCAACTCACAGGCGTGATGACAGTGAGGTCGGGCAGGTGGCTGCCGCCGGCGCACGGGTGGTTGCTCAGGATGACGTCGCCTTCCCGCAGGTCAGAGCCCAGGTTACGGATCTGGAACAGCACCGAGCCTGGTGCTCAGGGCGCTGGGGGGGGCTCCAGGGCAGGCGAGTGCCGGGGATGGGGGGGCCCAGCCCAGAAGGAGCAGGGGGAATAGGCAAGGGAGTCGCTCCTACCTGGAACTGGATGGTCTCCTGCATGGCCCCCAGGTGCACGGGGATGTGGGGGGCATTGGACACCAGCCCCCCATCAGGCCCGAACAGGGCGCAGGAGAAGTCCAGGCGCTCCTTGATGTTGGTGGAGATGGCCGTGCGCTGCAGGATCCGGCCCATCTGCTCTGCACGGGGGTCGAGGGGACTGTGTCATCATGGAAACCTCTGCCCTACGGCCCCCAAAACTGCTCCCATCTTAGCTGCCAGTCCCTCCCCCAGCCCAAGGGCCCAGAACCAGGGTGAAGGCGTACAACAAGCAGCTGCTTCTGCTCCTCCCAGAAGCACCTGCCTGCTCTTCGGCCCCTTGGGACAGGAGGTGACGGAGCCTGGGCTGCAGTGGCTGGAGGGGCAGGAGGGTTCTGCTGGGGTTGGGGGTGCTCAGATCCAGGGGGGAGTGGGGGACTGGGGGCTCCAGCAGGGCAAGGATCCTTGGGGTACAGTGCCTTACAGAGCCTCCCGTGCCCAGTGCCTCCAGTGCTGCCCCAGGGCCCAGAGGGCTGCGGGGCGGGGGGCCAGGGCAGCACTCACCTGCGATGCTCATGAAGCGGTGGGAGAAGATGGAGAGCTGGACAGCGTTGAGCTCAGGCCCGACGGGGCGCAGCGTCCCGGAGCCCACAGCAATGCAGATGTCCCCGACACGTGTGAGGGTGGCCGTGCAGTCCGGCTCGATCAGGATGGTGCTGAGGGACGAGGCCCAGTGACCGCAGGCTCCAGGTCCATGCCCCAAACCCGGGCGCAGAGAGCGGGGAGGCAGGGACAGCGAGGGAACCCACAAGCCTGCGCCCAGCCCTCCTCCCCCACCAAGCCACGGAAACCCCAGCTCCCTGCTCCACCCACCAGGCCAGGTTCCCCTCGCAGCGATGGGAAGGGACCCCGGGGTCCTGACCCTGCACCTGTTCTTGTCGATGAGGATGCTGGGGCCGGGGATGGTGTGGTCCCAGGACAGCTCCTCCAGCAGGTACACGGGGGTGTCCAGGTAGCCGTCTTCAAAGTAGCAGCGTGTCACCTGCCCAGCAGAGGAGGGGGCTGTGCTGAGCACCCTTGCCCCCCACCCACCGCGGCCCCCATCCCATGCACACCCGCCGGGACACAACATAAGGACATCAGAACTGCCACGGCCTGGGGCAGACCCCAGGTCCGTCCTGCCTGGTCCTGTGTCCCATGGGGCAGAGAGCGGAGCTGGAGGGAGTGTCTGGGGCTGAGCAGGATTTTCCCCCGTTCCTCTCTCCCTGCAGCCTCCCGCACTGAGGTCCAGGCAGGGCTGATGCAGAGGCCGTGCCCCTCGCTCCGTGCCCCGGAGCCACCGATGCCCCTTTCCTCCAAGAATTTCATAGAAATCCTAAAAGAGTGGGGCTGTGGGGTCACTTCCAATCCAAGGCAGGACCAACCTTGTCCAGCCCACCCTGTGTGTGACCTTGGAGCCACATGACACAGTCGCCCCTGACACAGCCCCAGGCATCGCCCCTGCTCCCGGGATACAGGGGGGCCGCGGCTGCCAATGCCCTGCTGCTGCGTTCATGGGCGCTGCAGAGAGCCCAAGCCCAGGCCGTGCCCCCGCTGCAGAGGAAGGCAAAACCCCCCAGTCCAGGCCAGTCTGAGCAGAGGGGGAATCCCTTCCTGCCCAGTGCAGTGTTGAGCCTATGCACGGGGGCAAGACCCTCCAACCAGAACCCTGTGGGGTTGGTACCAGCAGAAGCATTGGCACAGCCCAGCCCCAGCCTGGGCTGCAGCCAGCATCCAGCACTGCTGGGGGAGGCTTCAACCCCATGACATGGAGCAGAAATGTCCGATTCCCTTTTGAGACCTGGCCAGACAGAGCCAGTCTAGCACCGACCTCGCCAGAGCTCTGAGCGGGGAACGTGGGAGCCCAGCCCAGCCTGTGAGACCCGAGTGCTGGCCCTGCCCTACCCCAGAAAAGCCCCCATGCTGGCACAGTCCAAAGCCTCCTGGCCCCCCAGACACCAATGCCCATGAGCGGGTGGGGGGGGCGCTGGGCAGGTATTGCTCAGCCCCACGGCCCATGCACCAGCCCCAGGTTGGGGGAACATCCCCCCTCTCTGCACACCCCCGCAACCCTGCTGGGACCTGCCCCCGGAGCCTGGAGCCCTTAGGGCAGAGCCCGGGGGAGCGGAAGAGCCCTCACCGTCTCCACACGGGCCGGCCTGCCGCTGGCAGGGATGGGTGGTTCCTGGCCGATGCCAGTGCTGCCAGTGCCTCGCACCCGGATGTCGTCCACGATCACGGGGCGCTCGGGGATGGTGAAGCCAAACTCCTGCATGTACCTGCGAGGCCCCCGCAGCCATGATCCCTGGCAGCCTCCTGGCAACAGGGACCGTGGCCTGGCAGAGACCCCCCCAAAGGCAGGCAGTGCTACCCACATGCCCTGCCCAGGGGCCAGAAGGGCTTGGGGAGGGGGTCACCCACCTGTGGGCGAAGGCCGCATGGAAGTCCCCAGCTTGGCAGGAGTCGGGCGTGGGCAGGTGCCCGCGGGCCGAGCACATGAGGGCACAGTCCGTGCCCTCATAGCGCAGGTGCAGGAAGGCCTCCGTGCGGATCTGGGACCTGCGGGAGGGGGTGGCTGAGCACACAGGGAAACCTCAGAGCAGCACCTGCGGGGCCCAGACCCACCATAGCCCTGAGCTCGCCAGTCCCCACCTGCTCCAACCCTGCCAGGCCAGGGGGGCCGTGCCACGAGGGAGCCCTGGCTGGCACGAGGCCACGCTGGAGCTCCGTGGAGGGGCTGTAGTACCTGTGGAAGCCCTGCACCTCCAGGGCCTGCACGCACTGGTGCTCCAGGGCAGTGATGCGCTGGTCCAGCCGGGTGAATGCGTCGGGGCCGTAGCGCAGGGCGCAGGGCTCCTGGGCTTCGTGCACCACGTCGGCCAGCGCCAGCCCGTAGGCCGAGAGCAGCCCGCTGTGCCTGCATCCGCCAGGGAGGAAGAGTCTCAGGGGCTGCCTGGGACCTCCTTGCCCCAGGCCCTGACAGCCACTGCTCGCTCCCACCCCATCCCTGACCCCCTCTGGGCCAGCACCCATCCCACTGCAGGCTCCTGCCCCGCTCCCCAAACCAGAGCCGCACCAGGGTGGAGGCGAGGGTAGGAAGGGGGCACCCAGCACCTACTTGTGGACGAAGACCTTCTTCATGCCCAGCGCCCGGGCGATGGCACAGGCGTGCTGCCCCCCCGCGCCGCCGAAGCAGGCCAGCACGTGGCGCGACATGTCGTGGCCTCGTGCCTGCCAGAGTCAGAGGGAGCCATCAGCCTGGGGCCCAGGCCCTTTCCCACACGCGGGGCAGGATCCTGGGAGCCTCCATGAGGCAGGGCTGGCACCACGTGCCCACTTGAGACTGCCCAGTGGGGCTCGATGGAGCAGAAAAGGCCTGGGGGATGCTGAGCACAGCCCAGAGCTGTAACCATTAAGTCTGCCCACGAACACTCCTGTGAGGCGCTGCTAGAGCTGCTGGCTCGTGACAGGTGAACAAGGCCTTTGCTTTGACAAACTGTGCAGCGACTTTGTCAAGGGCAGCCAGCTGTCCAGGCAGGGCTGGGGGGTGTCTGTGCAGGGTGAATGGAGCCAGTGGGGAGCCCCACAGCAGCACGAGTCACAGTGAAAATAATGAAGATGCAAAGAACAAAAGGCACAAAGCAGTTGGGGACCAAAGGGGCATCAGACTGGGCTGCGGGACGACCAGACACCCTCAAGCATCCCAGCAAGACCCTGGGACAGCGGCTGCTATGTCCTGCTTTGCTAGGTCTGCGCTGCATCAGGGGTGACAGTCTCACGCAGTTACGTTATGGTGTCTAGTGGGGTTTGGACAGGGCTGATCCTGCCTCAGGCAGGGGGTGGACTGGATGTGACCCCACAGCTCCCTGCCAGCCCCTTCTCTGCAACTCCATAATCACCAACACAAAGAGCAAGACTGGCTCTAGCGCACGTCCAGGCATGGAAGCATGCGCCAGCTGCTGAACAAACCTCTATGAGCGGAGCAGAAGTCTCTCAACAGCCCACTGCTTCCCCAGTTCTGTAGTCTAAGTGTGATGCTATAGCCGGGACAGCCCAGAATTTCTTAGGGCTAGCTCTTTTATTGCACCGGCTACATCACTGGGATAGACCTAGAGGAACTTTCCAATGTAAGATATTCCTCCTCAGGAGAAACCGGTCGTACCTTGGAAGCTTTTCTACCTTTACCCGAACTGCTTGGTTGGTCAAATAAAAGAGATAGCCCCAAGAAACCCCGGCCTCACTTAAAATAACCGGGCCAAGCAGGGGCTGTGTCAGAGTGTCTGACCCCTGGGGACAGACGGGGTGGGGAGGATGATGGCTGTGGCGCTGCCCCACCTGGGTCAGGGAGCGGATGGGCCGGCACATGGCCTCGTTGGCCACGCGGATGAAGCCCATGGCCACCTCCTCCACGGAGAGCGGGGCGGCCCCCCCGCGGAAGGCGCGGACTCGGGCAGCCAGTTCCTGGAAGGCCTGCAGGGCTGCCTCCCGCGATAGCGGCTGGTCCTCCCCGGGTCCGAAGATGTGCGGGAAGTAGTCGGGCAGCAGGCGACCCAGGCACAGGTTGGCATCCGTCACTGTCAGGGGCCCCCCTGCCAGGAGAACACGGTGGGGGGGTTGGTCACTCGCACTTCCCACTGCCCACCCGCCCCAAGCCGCTGGGAGCTGCAGCCTCACCCTTCCTGTAGCAGGTGGGGCCGGGATGAGCCCCCGCGGACTCGGGACCAACTACGAACAGCCCAGACCTGGAGAGGAGGGAAGAGGGGACGTCAGGGCAGCACCCGAGCCCTGCGCCTGGTTGAACTGGAGGGGTAGCAGGGTCCAGCTCCCAGGGGTCACATGGAGCTGGGAAGGGGTCGTCTACCCTGAACCCCTCCCTATAAGAAAGGGAGAAAGGAGGACCCAGGAAACTATAGACCCATAAGCCTCACATTGGTCTTGGTGAAAATCCTTGAAAGAATTATCAAGGATCACATCTGTGAGGGGCCAGCAGGGGAGATCATGCCCAGGGGAAATCAACATGGGTTCATCAAAGGCAGGTCCTGCCAGACCAACCTGATGGCCTTTTATAACCAGGTAACTAAATCCTTGGATGACGGTGTTGCCATGGACGTAGTCTTTCTGGACTTTAAGAAGGCCTTTGACACTGTTTCTCACCCCATTCTCATTAATAAATTGAGCAACT